AGCAGAATCTGTCTAGATTTACTTTCAGGATCCTATTTTAAAACCATCACATACAACTTATTGTTTTTATTATAAGATTTAGCTTGTTGCATTCTAAAAACTGTTTTGGTTAATTTGTTTATTTGTCAACTTATCAACTTCATTTTTTTAATTACTTTTCTAATTATAATTAAATTAATACAAATACTAAAATTAATTAGGAGATGAATAAAAAAATAGATCGAGAGTGGTAAGTGGTTAAGAAAATTAAGTAAAGAAGTAAGAGGTTAATTTAAGAGGTTGCAACGAAAATGCACATTATCAAAAGATTAAAAGAGATGAGAAATTTAAACCGGGTAATGCAATTTATGATATAATCTGTTAGTATTTTAGCATGTGTACAAAGTAAAATAAATATTTATTTTATGTAATTCAGATTTATTATCAATATATTTGAAAATATAAATTATATTATGTTAAAAATTTGTAAAAATATATTTCAGATTTAAAAAAAATAATTGTTTTAGTTGATGATAATTTTTGTTGAAAAAATTATTTTTCAGAACTATATTGAGCGAGATACGGGGTAAAAAAAATGGAAAAATCTCTTTTACTAAATAAAAGTCAAACTCACATTGTTTAAATAGTATTAAGACAATTAAAGATGTTAATATTTTAGGAATATCTTTTTAATAAGTTTAGTGACTCCATGAAATTTAGTTTAATTATTATTTTTTTCAATTAAATAACTCATTAACTCGTGACTAAATTTAAAATTTTAATACTTATGAAAAACATTCCTTTTATTTAGAATATTTTTATTTTGAAAAAGTCTCTTTATCGTTAGATTTTCCTTCAATAGATTTTCGAATATTTAAATCAATAAGAGAATTACGAATATTCAAATCAATAAAAGAATTAGTATTCTTAAGTGAATGATTTCTTAAGCGAGCATTCTTAGTAGAATACTGATTTTATTTATACAATTAACATGAATTGTGGATCTATGTTTTTATTAGAATAATAATTACCTCGAGAGTATAATAAAAATATAATAAATAATAATATAATGATAAATAATAAACAACATACCAAAGTATGGATATTTAGTTAAAATATGTGAATATTGCCCAAATAGGCGTATATTTGGTTGCTCCATAATGAAGATGCTTAAAGGGAATTTATTGGGAAACGTTCTTTTAATATGTTTAGTAACATAAGCTCCTTAGTCTCGGGAGTTTGGTTTTGTGTATAAGGTTATATCAAACCTTGAGCCTACTTGTGTAGTTTCTCAATGGACGAACCATTCAACCGTGTTTATAAGTGAATTGGCCTTGAGGTAGTGTTTCTAGGTGGATTGACCTTTGAGACTAGGCTTGTTCAGTTTGGTCATTGAAGCCAAGCTTATTCGATTTGGCTGTTGAGGCCGAGATTCTTTGAGATTGGTCGTTGGGNATTTGAAATTGATTACATTATGGGGTTAATCGATTAAAACTCGTGTTTTTGCATAAACTTTTTCAAGTGTGTTGTGAGAGTTTTTCAAAGAGAAAAATTTTCAAAACTTTGCGTAACACTGTTGCATAATCGATTGCATTTGATATGTATTCGATTAAGTTTGTTACTGTTTTGAAATTTGTTAATGCTTGATATAATTGTTACAACGACAATATTTTTAAATATGTTGACCAAGCATTAAATGTTATTCGACTACATTAATTGTGAATTCAATTAAGTGTTTTGACTGCTACTATCTTTTATAACTGAATTGGTGTATTCGACTACATTACTAGCTTAGTCGATTAAAATGCGTTAGAGATATGTTATACTATAAATTGATACAAATTTGATTTCTGTAGAGACTTTTGTGATTCTAACATTTTCATATTCTTTTGTAGAAAAGTGCAAAGCTTATAGAAAGAGAAAGATCTCCAAGAAACTAGTTTGAGCGTGGTGATCAACTCGGTGTGATTTCTTGAAGAGCAAGATTGCTGAGTTTTCAAAGTCTGATCCATCTGCACATTTAAGTGTCTACTGCAGGATCAGGTTCTACAATCTGCTGAAGATTGGTTTGAGTTCCCTGTTGTGATTACAGGAAGAAGGACGTGTTGTGTTCTTGACTTTGAGGGTGCCTCAAAGGGTTTGGACTGTAGGAAAGGGGATTCTTGCTGCTAGTTTTTTTGTATACTGCCTATATTTTGATTAAAGGGTTAAAGAGGTGTTTTATATTTTTGACATGAGGTCTCTACAAAAACCTTGTTGTAAAAACCTCGATCATTATTGTGCATTGGCTTCCTGTGGTTGGAAGGACATTAGATGTAGGCTTGACGAACCAGTATAAAAACTCAGTGTTTGATCTTTCTTATCCCTACTCTATTACATTCAACCGATTATACTTTTTACGCATTCGTTAAAATTTCCCCTGCATTGAAAATCTTTTAACTTGCGTTTCAAGAAAAGTATAAATGCATCTCATTTGGTGAAAAAAGATTTTGAAAGCTTTAAATTTTATACTTTACCAATTCACCCCCTCTCTTGGTGTCAGAAATTGAGTCATTCTTTTTTAATAGGTCTAATTGTGTAGTTAGTTAATTAAGCAATACAAATTGAACTTGAATCTACACGTCTTTTTCGATGGACTTATCGACGATCTTTTTCTTCGGTAATTACCGACGGTCTATTCCTTCGGTAATTACTGATGATCTTTCCCTTCGATAATTATCAATGAACTTTTCCTTCGGTAATTAACAATGACATTTTTTTTCGATTATTACTGACGACCTTTTCCTTCAATAATTACCGATAAAATATGTCGTCGGTAATTACTGATGACCTATATCCGTCGATAATGATTACTGATAAAGGAATTACGATGAATTATTGGCTGTTGATAATCTGTAAAGAAAAGTGTATTATCGACAAACTTTGGCTGTTTTCGACGGATTATGTTCACTTGTAAAACCTGTGTTTTTTGTAGTGTCCATATATTCTAGAGCTATCAAAACGAGCCACCCGGCCTGGCCCACCACGGGTTGGTCACTTAGTGAGTCAACCCAACCCAACCCGGCCCAACCCACCATGGGTTGGTGGATAAACGTGTTGGCTCAATGGCTCACTTAATTACAATTTTTTTAAATAAAAAAAATTACAAAGTTTCTATAATATAAATCTAAACACATTTCATTCCCAAATTTCACTCTCAATATGGGTGTTTAATTAATTTTGAAAATAAGAAACTTAAATAATTTTTTCAAGCAAAAACAAAATAATAAATATTTTTTATAAAATTAAAATTAAATTTTAATAAAATAAAATTAGGTAGGTGGGTTGGTGGGTCAACCCGATCCACCTGGGTTCAACCCGCATGAACTGGGTGAAATCTGACCCGCGTAAAAAAAGTACAATTTTTTCAAACCTAACTCGATTCAAACCCGTAGTGGGCCAGATTGACCCGCGGATTGTGACCCATTTTGACAGGTCTTATATATTCTATTGGTAAATATTATGGATTCTTCTTCTTCGTATCTCTTTCTTCTTACTTTTAGGATATTTTTTCTACATGATGACTCCCGTGGTGGGTTCACATTTGCTCGTAATGTCATGGAGAACTTGTGTTGGTTTGCAATAGTGTCGTGGTGATGACTAGGTCTGTTGGAACCACGTACGGGTTGCTTCTATGTCATTCTCTTTGACGATGTTGCGTGACAATTTCTCCAAATTTCATCTTTTTCCTTGTGCTTTCACCACCATTATTTTTGGCGAGGCTTCTCGAATCTTCATCTTCCCCTCACCAAATTAGTAGATCTAGTGGGATCATGTTGACACAGAAAGCATCGAAGATGGAGAAGAAAATTTGTACTAACACATGAATGCCTTCTCACATCGTTAAGTTGAGACTCAAGGAAAAGGAGTACATTAATTCTATTTAAAAAATATGAACTCAATTAAATAAAAAAATATATAAAAAGAAAAATGAATCATAAACTTGATCAAATTAATAATTAAAGCAAAAGAAAATAATTTAAGTTTCTTATTTTAATTTAATTTAATTTATTGATTTATGAACTTCAACTTTTAGAATACTACAACCAAATTAAATGTATGAGTTTATTTTAATCTATGCAAATATTTTTTTTCTCTATAAATACTTATAGATGTGATTATATAAATAAAGCGTAAACACAATAACTAAACAAAAAGATAAAGTTCTCACCCATACCTTTTGCATACCCTTTTTTAGTACACTCTATTGACTTTTCAAACAATAATTATCATCCATTCATAAAATACACTAAGCAATACACTTAGAAACAAATTTCTATTCATGTATGGGGCATTAGATTAAACAGTTACGAAGTATTTGATAATTGTTTGATATAAGATATGCAATAAACTTTTTATAATATTAATTATATTAAATGAAAATTATTTTATTATTAGTTGAAAGTAAAAATTATCTCAATTCATACCATATAAATTGATTTTATCTTTAATGATAAACTTTATCATATAATTTTATTCATAATTCTTTAACTATAAAACAAGTGCATCTATCTTGAGAAATAATTACTCTCCACAACATATGCCCACATCCTCTTTTGACATATAAAACCTCTTTTCTATAATTAACCGTGGCACGTAATACTCTGTTCTCAACATAGACCTTAAATTTATTAAATCCCCGAGTATTTAACAACTAACGGGTTTTTTCTGTAAGGCGGATTTACGAAGCAAATGATACACGTATTTTTTTATTTTATTTATATATCTTTTCTTTCTATTTTTCTTTTTATATGATCATATATTATATAAATCTATCATGTTTATGATTTCATAGTAAATGTACCTAAAGGAAAAGACACTATCTCTGAAGCAGTGGAATTCAATCTTGACTTGGATGCCGCCCTCATCGTTTTCCTTTTGAATGTACATCCATCGCCATCAACTTTTGTTGATTGTGTGTTTATATATACATACAACATATCACTTTTTTTCTATGCAGCTTTCTTGCTAGTGTTAGCCAGCCTAGTTTGGAATGGAGAAACACCAAGTTATGCTCCCTACCGCATCTACCTCATCAACAGCTTTATCCTCTCGTTTTAAACATGTTGAGAAACAGGTTTCAGAGATCTCATCTCAGAACCAAAGTGACAAGGAAGCTAAGCACCACCGATATGCATTTCAAACGAGAAGCGCTGTTGATGTTCTGGATGATGGGTACCAGTGGAGAAAATATGGGAAAAAGATAGTCAAAAACAATAGTTTTCCAAGGTTAGTGTCACACTGCTACTTTATATTTTAAATGGAATTTTCTGTCTTTTTTCAAGCAAAGCAAGGGAATCTTAACTCTACACTTGATTCTTCAGTCTTCTTTTTAAGTGTGAGAGTCCTTCGTTCGTTTTAAATCCAAAATCTTGTAATGATTGTAAATCATCTTTTTAAATGACCTCTTCGGATAAAAATTTAGATTTAAGGAGTTGAGTTCACCAAGACATAGATTTGTGTATCTCTCTGTATTGTTCATCTCACTTATCTCACTAATATTTAAGTGAAGTAACCTAAAAACTCTCAACAAACACATTTGAACTCACTCTTCAAAACTTTATATGATTTCAAAAATATAAAATAAAAAATCTCACAGGCAATAATTTAGGATGCTGTTTTTAATTTAGAAAATAGTATGTAGTGTATGACTTTTACTACTGAATATACTTAATAGTAGGAGTAGTGAAATCATGGTATAATGCATTTTCTATACAATATATCATCTCCAGGCTGATTTGTGTCTCTTTTTAAAATGGTCCTCCTTATATGTACTCATTGATAAACCAATTTTAATGCATTAGAAGTCTATTATCTTGATTTATTACAAGTCGAGTTAAAAATGATTCCGTTAAATTTGATTTATTTTTTGGTGAATTAAAAAACTTATCATTTGGCTTAAACTACGATAAATTTGTAGGTTAGGTAAATTAGTTTATTTAAAAAAATTTAACTCTTCTAATTTATTTTATATATTCATGAAAGTACTAATCAAAATAAATTAACTCTACTATTTTTTTATATCAATACAATGTTTTTATCTATTTCAACAAATATTATTATAATAATACTTAGTGAATATCAACTCACGTAATTTAGTAAAAAAAAAATTAAACATTCAAACTATTCAAATATTATTAATAAAACATTTTAGTCTTTAAAAGAATTAATCTACGTAATTAGGTAAATAATAATAATAAAATTTTATGAAAAAATTGTGAAAAAATAATAAAAGATTATTTTTTATAGACTGAGTCAAACCACTTCAATCACTTTCAATTCCGTTTAATTTTAAGCATTCAATTTAACCTATAGTTAAAAATCTTTGTTTTTTTCAACTTAACTTAATTCGAATCCTTAGTTGAATTTTGTTAAGAGTTTAAACCTACTTGGACATCTCAAATTCTACGTGCTACCAAACAATAAAGTAAGGTTAGCATGAATAGGAAATTTGCAATTCTGCATTTTGATTTTTTTGCATTTCTAATCGGTCTTGGGTTGATTATGCATACATTAATTACAATTTTATTTTGCTTTTTCAGAAGTTACTACAGGTGTGCTCATCGAGAGTGCAATGTTAAGAAACAAATCCAGCGTCATTCCAACGATGAAGAGATTGTGGTCACAACCTACGAAGGAACACATACACACCCTGTGGATAAATCAGTGGAAACCTTCGACCAGATCTTGGGCAACCTACTCAATAATGCACCTCCCACATTGGAATAGAACATCAAGGAATTATTATTGGAAGCTAATCCCATTGTCTTCTTAAAACATAGCACCATATGTATATGTTCTGCTATGGATTCAATAATAATAATAATAATAATAATAAAAGATGCATCTGTTTAGAAAAACCAAGTCATCAACTTCTACAAACCAAAGAATTTGTGCAGATGTATACATAATTTCGACTGTCTATACACTGAAATACTATATCATAATCGTAAACAGTTTATACATTCATGTTGGAACCAAAATCATGTGGCATTCATCTCCACCGAAATTCTTCGTCAAGCACAGGCACATGGCAATCAAGAGCAAGATAACAGTAACTCCACCTAAAAAAACAGTGTAATTCATTCTTCTATTGCTATGCCTAGCACTAACACTAGCAACTCTCATCTCTTCTATCATTGCCATAAAATTCGCCAATTTCTCTATGTCGTGGTCGTCATTGTCGTTATCACCGGCTATACAAGATGACGAAGAGGAGCACAAAGAACAAAGTTCATCACGGGTACAGTAATCATGCACCCCTTCGCTTCCATCATATTCATTATCAGAGTTACAGAAAGACATTGATCTCACCTCATGATCGCTACTCTCACCTTCCGAAGTTGTTGACTGAAAAAGTCGTCGACCCTTCAAATTTCCTCTTTCGATAGCCTCCTTACGCTCTTGGAGGATCTCTCTAACTGACACCTCTTTGATTCTGGTGACGTTCTTCCATGGTTCAGGAGGCGGCTCTTGTTGAAGGTTGAACATGAGTTCCCTGGGAGAATATTTGCTTGGCTTGTGAATGGTTTGGTTTGAATGAAGAAAGGAATGTCTGCGTGATGTTTTTTTCTTGGATTCCTTATAGGCTTCCCACTCTTGTTCCAGCTTCTTGAAAAGTTCGTGGAATTCTTCTGTTCCTTTTACTTTCTCTTTTCCTTTTCTTTGATAGCTTTCCATAGTGGGGAACTCTG